TCCAAGGACACCAGACCCAGCCCCTCCCTCCCACTCCACAACTGCCTCCGATCCCCTGTGTCTTGCAGCAGAAGCCCTGCCCTCCTGCCAGCTCCCCTCCCCGGCTGCTGCTGGAACTGAGGTCTGCGAGTGTCCCCTCCCTCTTTCACACCTCTCCTCCAGTCTGCCACCCATCCGTTCTCCCCAAGAATAACCATAATGCTACGTATGGCGCTTCACGCGCATTAGCTCAGATTCCCCCACGACAGTTGGAAACGTGATAAACCATGAAATGCGATAATACACGCAATCAGCTGCACACATCGTGAAACCGACACCAAGCTGCTGTTTGTTCGCGCAAATTCGCACAGGTCTCCAGGCAGGAGCTCAGAGCGCCATGCTGGGGTGAGACCCACAGCTCTCTTACATCAGCTTGCACGCCCCCTGCCCCGGGCCTGCCCTGCGGCGTGCAGGGCCTCCTCCCTCAGCCGCTAGCCAAGGGGGCTGTGGCCGTGGCCTGGGCCACAGGAAGGCCTTTGGGGTGGGGGGGGGCGCTCCCCAGACACGGTCAGAGGTACTGGGGACCAGCAGAGTGAACAAAACCTACCAGGAGGTTTACAGTCGAGTGGGCTAGACAAACACACCGTTCTGCAAACTGTAATAAGAACCAGAAAGGAAAGAAGAAGGAGAGAACCCACTTCAAACCGGGTGGTCTGGAAAGCCTCTGTGATGAGGCAACGTTTCGTTGAGATCTGCAGGAAGAGATTCTGGCCTCTTTGTGGGAACAGCATCCCAGGGGGAGGGAAGGACACAGGCAGAGACCCCGGAATAGGACTGAGGAACACGGAGGCAGGTGCAGCTGACGTGTGGGGGGAGGGGGGAGGAATGAGGAAGGAATGAAGGGGGCCGGCCAGTGGGGCCTGCAGGTCCCCCCCCCGCCGCCGCCTTTTTTTTAAACGTTTTACTTGGGAATAATTTCAATTTATAAAAAGTTGCTAACACAGAAACAGCACAAAGAACACTGTATACTTTTAACTCCGATTCAGCTCCCTGCTCCTTCTCTCCCTCTCTGCACAGAGACGCAAACACATACACTCTTCTTCTCCGAATCTTCTGAGGGTGGGTCAGACACATCATGGCCCTGTCACCCTAAAGATTCCGGGATGTTTCCCGAGAATGGGGGTATTCTCTGCAACCACAGTAATCAATTTCATAAATGTACATTGTGCAATACCTTAATATTCAGTTTCTATCGAATTTTATCAATCTAATTTTCTAATTAGTCTCTAACTTTGTCAATAACAACCTCTATAGCTCTCCTCCCACTCGCCCCCCCCCCACCCCACTGCCTGCCCCCCTGCCCCCGCCAGGCAAATCCAGGATCCAGTCCTGAGTTAGGTGTTGAATGCAGTAGACCTATTTCTCTTTATCCTTTTTTAACCTGGAACATTTCTGCGGCCTTTCTTTGTCTTTTATGACATTGATATTGCTCAGGACTCCAGCCTCACCCCCGTTTCTAACAGCATGTTACTCATTTTCTGTTTGTCTGATGCTTCCTCACGAGTAGAATGGGATTATGCCTTCTGGGCTGGAATACCATACCGGTGATGTGTCTCCTTCAGGGTGTCACATCTGAAGGCGTGTGCTATCCATCTGTCCCTTATTGGCGATGTTAATTTTGATCATTCAGTGAAGACCTTGCCCCGTTTCTCCACTTCGTAATTACTGGGTTTTGTTTGGTTGTTTTCTTTTTCTACCTTGTAACTTGTAAGCAGTCCATGGGGAGACTCTTGAAGACAATGCAAATGTTCTGCTCTTCATCAAAATTTCTCCCTGGATTTAGCACCCACTGATGGAATCTTTACTGTGAAAATCACGATTTTCCGACTTCAGCACTCATTCTGCATTTAACCGTCTGGCCCTCGGCGTTCTGGTACAAGCAAGAGCCCTCCTCACGATCTCATTTACTTCCGACTTTGAGTTACTGTTTTTGTCATGGTTTTAATTCATTCCAGTACCTAATTATTTTGATGCTCAAACTGCCCGATTTGGCCACCAGGAACCCTTCAGCCTGGCTCCTCTTGTGTTTTGTGACACCTATAATTCCTTTTAGCGTCTTATTTTTTGTGACTATCTTTGCTTCCCTTCTGTCCTTTTCTGGGAATCTAGAATCGGGCAACGTTAGCCCTGGAAGGACAGTTAAGATCATTCTAATCCATCCTTTGGTTTTATGGAGGAAACTGAGGCTGAAGGGAAGTGGCTTGTCAGGACCACACTGTGAGCTGATGAAAGAGTTGGTTCAGAACTCAGAATTAGCCTATGCCTAAGTAACAATAAATAATGACACTTGTCCATTTTGAGCACCTATTATGGGACCGACACTGTTAGGTACTTTACATACATATCCGCATTTAATCTCTGCAGCATTTGTGACTAAGCATTCCAGAAGGCGCTGAGACCCAAGTGTGTTACCTGACTCTCCAGAGTCATCTGTCTACCAGATGGAGGAAACGGGTCCAAATTCAGGTCTCAGTGATTCAGGAAAGGGTACTTGCTGGAGGTGGAGGTGGGATGTGACCTTCACGGGAGTGATCAACTCATGTGCTTCACCAGTCAAGATGAGACTAACTTCTCCGTACTAAAGTGATGCAGTTGAGGGGGCAGAGCGCAGAAAGTCTGGATTCTGGACCCTAGATTCTACGTGTAATCCACAGCCTGGCCCCCATTTCAAATGCCCAGCTGCCCACCTCCACCCAGGGTGTGGATGGAAACAGGAAGCTGCCATCTCCTGAGGGGACACCCAGGCCTTCCTTGGCCTTAGAATGAGTGGTCTCAAGTGGGAGGCTCACCCTGGTTTCCCCCCAGCCCAGCCCCCTCCAGAGG